GGTCATGCGGGAGGCAACCAGTTGATGTGTCCCTCTCACGTTGATGTTTCTCTTTCTCTGCCTCCCACTCTATCTGAAGATAAATAGAAAAATATCCTTGGGTGAGGATTGGAAAAAAAAAAAAAAAAGAATACATTGAGTTATATGCTTTATTCTGGAGGGATACCCAGGATGTATTGTTGAGTAATGTGTATAATGTGTATATGTGAATACGCCAAAAGCTGTGAAAGCATATATACCAAATTAACAGTACTGCTCACTTCTGGAGAGTGGGACCTGAGGGCTTAGGGTGGAATCCTTCATTTACTCTCCAAGATTTTTAAAGTCATTCTATTCTTTTATTATAATTTTTGACTTTGATTCGTCCTTTCTTATTTAAAATTTTTTTTTTTCAATTACAGTTGACATACAATATTATATTAGTTTCAAGTGTACAACTCAGTGATTAGACATTATATGTCACTAAATAATCATTCTGATATATCTCATACCCATCTGATACCATACATAGTTATTACAATATTATTGACTATATTCCCTATGCTGTACTTTACATCCCGTGACTATTCTGTAACTACCAATTTGTGCTTCTTAATCCCTTCACCTTTTCACTCACTACCCAAACCCCACTCCTATCTGGCAGCCATCAAAATGTTTTCTGTATCTATAAGTCTGTTTCTGTTCTTGTTCATTTATTTTAGATTCAGTTGTTGATAGATATGTATTTATTGCCATTTTATTATTCATATTTTTTATTATTTTCTCCTCTTCCCCTCCTCCTCCTCCTCTTCGTTCTCCTCCTCCTCTTTCTTCTAGAAGACCCTTTAGCCCTGACCAGTGTGCTCAGTGGTTAGAGTCAGCCCTCTGAATGGTCAAAGGTTCGATTTCCCGTAAAGAGCACATACCTGGGTTACGGACTCAATCCTTGGCCCCAGTCAGGGCACATATGGGAGGCAACCAATGGATGTATTGCTCTCACACTGATGTTCTTCTCTCTCTCTGTCTCTCTCTCACTCTCGCTCTTGCTCGCTCTCTCTTCCTCCCTCCCTCTCTTCCACTCTGTGTAAAAATCTATGGAAAAAATATCTGTCCTTGGGTGAGGATTAACAAAAAAGAAAAGAAGACCCTTTAACATTTCATGTAATATTAGTTTGGTCATGATAAACTCCTTTAGTTTTTTTCTTGTCTGGGAAGCCATTTATCTGTCCCTCGGTTATAAATGATAGCTTTGCTGGGTAAAGTAATCTTGGTTGTAGGTCCTTGCTTTTTATCACTTTGAATATTTCATGCCCATCCCTTCTGGCCTGCGAGAGGTACAGGGCAGGTGGAACCAAATACTGCTTGTTTGAGAGATTTTTAGGAGAGTCTGAAACATAAACCAAGACAGGCCATTCATATGGAATAGCCATTGAAACAGCTTGGGTGGGCCCACAAGTTGGGTGGGGTGGAGGTCTAAGGGATTCACCAGGGTGGGGCAAACAGTGATAGCCAGGTTGATGGAGACTCAGATATGGCCCCTGTCTGCTGGCTCTGCTGGGGGAGGGCTCTGAAAAGGAGCAGTGGCCTCTGACAGCGCTCCTGTCTGGGAGAAAGCTGCACCTCTAGCTCCTGCCTTGACACCTGACTATTCAGTTCCTCTTTGTATGTCCTTGGGACCTTTTTTAAAAAATATGTTTTGAATGATTTTTTTAGAGAGAGAGAGAGAAACATCAATGTGGGAGAGAAACACTGACTGGCTGCCTCCTGTACACCCCCTACTGGGGATTGAACCCGCAACCCCAGCATGTGCCCTGACCAGGAATCAAACCCAGATCTCTCAGTCGATGGGATGATGCTCAATCCACTGAGCTATGCTGGCCAGGCAGTCCCTGGTACCTTTTGAGCTGCTGCCCCAACGCTAGAGCTCAGAACAAATGTGTCTGAGTAAGTCCTCACATGGGCCCTTGAAGAGGAATGCCTGGGACCCCAGAAGACTCTGTCTCACCTAACCACAATCCCTGCTGGATTTTACAGCCAGAAGTTATGGGGCCTTCTCTTCCTGGCCTGGAACCCTGGATGGGGGGGCGCGGTGTAGGGCTGGGACTCCTTGTTCCTCAGGAGAAACCTTTGCAGCTGAGATATTCCTCCCCATTTTTATTTGCCACATGTGGATATGGGACCAGCCCATTCCCCTTCTTCATCCCTCCTACTAGTCAGGATGTGGCTTCATCTTTATATCCTTAGTTGTAGGACTTCTGTTCAGCTAGATTTCAGGTGGTTCTGAATGATAGTTGTTCTGAAGTTTAGTTGTAATTGTGATGTGGTTGTAGGAGGATGTGAGTACCACATTTACATACACCACCATCTTGACCAGAAGCCTGATTTAGCCTCTAACTTTAAATTTGCTGTTTTCTTCAGTGCTCTTTATAAAGTAACAGTCATAACGATAATGCTAGGTGTGTCACTAGCTTTATATAGACCTATGTCCCTAGTCTCATAAAAGGAGATTTACCCCTAAGTTGATAAAGAAAACAATACTTGTATTTTTATAAGGACTTCATTTATATTAGTAATAAAATAAAGAATAATTAAAAATAAAACAAAACTGTCTAACTATAGTTAGTAGCCAGGTTTTTAAATGAATACGACTTCATCTTACCAAAAGACAATATTCCAAATCTTGCTGAAAGAGGCTAATCATCTAGCTAGTATCTAGTAACCATTGTTATAACACCCATTACTTTGTGAGAAGAATATCATGACTAAAAGAAGAGAAGAGCGATGACAAATTATCATAGAGTTGAGGTCATTATAGACTCTTTGATAGTTAATAGAACAATAAAAAACAATGACATTTGATATGAACTATTTCGATTACAGAGAGGCTATGGATCATTTGTATATTCATATATCTACAAGAAAATTTTCAGGACCCTTGTCTCCTCTCCCCTCCCCCACCCACAACAGCTGCTGTTGTCACCCACCAGGCTACCTGTCCTGCCCGCCCTCCCTGCTACTGGGCTTGTGGGGCTGGCCACAGGCTGTGGTCTCCTCGTTGCTGCCACCCACTGCCTTGCTGGCTGTTCTCCCACCCCACTGGGGGACCCACTGCACTCCCCGCTCCCCCTGTAGGCCCTGTGCTAGCTAGCCCTAACCTGTGTAGGGGGTTGGGTCTGGGAGAGAGAGTCCTGGTGTGTGTGTGTGTGTGGGGGTCCCCCCGAGAAAGAGGTTGGTAGGGGAGCTCCAAGAGAGGAGGGGTTGTGGAGTGGCAAGGCTTGGCATAGGAGGAAGGGACTAACTTCCTCCTATGAGGGAAGGCCTTTGGGAAGAGGATTTTGGTGTGGCAGATACTCTGAGAAGGAAGAACTCTGGGATATTTGAGGAATTTGGTTATGGGGCCTTCTAGGAATGGGCACAGTTGTGGATTCACCCTGGTGGACAGAGGAGTGACTGGAGAAAGGGCTTTAGTAGGAATATTAGACTGGCAGGAGGTAGGTAAGCTCCAGTGTAGGGAAGATCACTATAAACCATGGGAAGAGATACCTCCCCTTTGCTCCCATCAGGAGGAGTGGGCCTTGATTGGGAGGGGCACCTTGGCATAATATGGGGAAGAGCTCAGATGTGGCATGGGGGAACTGACATGTGGTATGGAGAAACTAGCTGGAGGGGTGGTCCCTGATGTGGGAGGAAATGATATAGGGAGGAGGTCTTGGCATAATTTGGGGAGGAAAAAAAAATTTTAGATTTATAAGAGAGACCATTTAATTATTCATATTTTTGGTAACACAATGAGTGAATGATGTTACATTTTTCAAAGGGGAAAAGAACTGTTAAATCAAAAACCATATGTTTAAAATGGAGACTATTACAGGAAGACTGATTTAATTCTCTTTCTGGTTCTATCCTTGGTTGAACCCATTAAGCAAACATCTTAGTAATTTTGTCCATGATATAAAACAAAAAAACAAAAAAAATATGAGAATCATTTTACCAAGTAATTTGCTTTACAAGAATAATTGGAAATTATGCCAATCTTAAAACATAGATTAAAATAAAAAATAATTTGTGTTAGTATAAAATAGAATTAAATAAAGGCAAAGGCAATTCAACATAACTGGTAAAAGAAAAAATATACTTAGTGGAGGGATTACTTGAATATTTAAATTTTGATTCAAATAGAAATTTGCAATTCTGCCATTGAGAATGATTTCCTAGCAATTAAGAAAATCTAAACACCTGGTGATTGAGAATAGCTGGGAAAATATTCAGTGTTGAGAAATATGGTAAGCATTTATGTTAGTACAGATTATAATTAAATAATTTCACAAGATCTGTTGTCTGGTGAGACTGAAGAGTATTTGTAATTCAGGCTAGTCAGATTACCACCAAGCACACCAAAATGAGATTCTTAAGAGAGTGGTTGATGCTGCATTTCAGCCATTTATGACTAGGAAACCAAAAACACGTTGGCATAAAAATGTTGCCTGCAAAATACAGCCTTCCAATGTAAATTGACATGGAGCCCAATGCCAATAAATAGCTACCACAAAATAGATTAATTTGTAGATGTAGTAAACGCAATCCAAGATTTTCCACAAATTCTTGTGTGTTTGTATACCCCATTTTCTCAGGCTTCACACCAGCTTAGAGGTATGAAGTCACATTAACTATAATAACTCAAATTCAACTGGCTCTTATAACTGCTGCTATTATAGGACCTCATCTAATGTGCCTCTGAAATATTCCTGAGAGTCCCTCAGAGTATCACAAATGTTCACACACAAGGCCTCTTTAACTGGTATTCCTATAACTGTCAGGTATTAGATGGGCATATCTATTGCTCTTCTAAGGACTGCGATCTCGTACTCTATACATTCTGGAGAGTGTACTGGATAGTATGCTGTGCTAGTATAGAATGTGAAGTGATTGGTAGTGAAACAGAGGAGCATGCCTTTCTTCCTTTTATATTTCTCTTTGTTAGAGGGTTTCCAAAATAGTGCTGCTGATTTCTCCCTTACACAGGATTTTCAGTGAAACAGTTCTTCCAGTTATTTTTCATGAGTCTCACGGAGGACTCAATAACCAGAGCCACTCTTCCTGTCCAACAATTCTTCAGGGTCACGTAAGTCTGCCTGTTTCTTCTTTCACACTCCTTTTTGTATTAATCTATTTACTTTTAGGACAGATTTCTTTGAAGTTTCCTCAGCAAATCCCCCCACCCCAACCTAAGCATACACTTTGTTGAATTCATCTCACTAATACACTAGACATGCAGAGCTTGAGTTTTTTTTTATCCTCACCCGAGGACACTTTTGCATTCATCTTCAGATAGAGCAAGAGGGAGAGAGGGAGGAAGAGAGAGAGAAACATCGATGTGAGAGAGACACATCGACTGGTTGCCACTCACACAACCCCAGCCGTGGGCCGGGGACAAACTGCAACCAAGGTACATGCCCCTAGCGGGAACCGAACCGGGTCTCTCTGGACTGCGGCCGATGCAGAGCTTGAGTTCTTTACCAAGAGGCTCCTCAGCTACCACTACGACATGCTGATTTAACAACCTGATTTACCACCTGGATACATTCCACTTTGCTTCAAAGTCAGCAGCATAGCTTGTAGGGTCAGGATACCAGCTTGAATCTAAGTGGGATTCAGACATTTCTGGACTGGTCAGGTTAACATATTAGAGATGAGGTTCTAGAGAGTCAGCCTAGCTCTTATTTAATATTTTGTTTGTTTTTTAATCCTTCGAAAGGATTTAATGACATTTGCTTGTGTGAAGGAGCCAGAAATTTGGAGTCTACAACTCCAGATGCATGTTTGTCATAACTGTGAGTTTGTAAAACTGTTACAGACTTTGAAGGATCACAGAGCATGGGCAGCAGGCATTTGTTCTCTGTAATGTCCTCTGCCTGCTGGAGTGACTGTCTGAACCTGGGTACTGTTGGAGCAGGAGGTTATTTTGCCTTTTCCTGTCTTTTCTCTACCTTTTGGGGGCTTTAAGAATGCTTTGAGTCTAAAGAAGGGATCTAAAGTATAGGTTGTGAGAATCTTTGTTCCAGCTATTTTGAACTTAAGGTTCAAGTCAAAGAGCCTAGCTCTTCTTATAGAGCCTTTTGAGCCCTGCCACTCAAACAGGCCTTGTCTGTTGGGTTCACCTGACCAGTCCAGAAATGTCTGAATCCCACTTAGATCCAAGCTAGTATCCTTACCCTACAAGCTATGCTGCTGACTTTGAAGCAAAGTGGAATGTATTAGCATGGTAAATCAGGTTGTTATATATATTAAACTTTTCAATATTTATGTATGGAGCATGTCGACGTAAGAAACATCCAAACCTTTAGAGGATTTTTGTTAGTTTATTTGAGTCAAACTGACAATAATTGCTGGGAAGCAGACTGTTCATGTGATACCATTATAATTAACCTAGTTATTAATAATAGGAAAGGAGCAAAGGGAAGGCTAAATATTATAGGCATGTCATTTGGTCAGCTTCGCTAGGAAGCTACAGCTTTACACATACCAAGGAGCGAGCCACTGGCTACAGATCTCTGGGACTGGATAGGGTGGAGATAGACACATGCCCAGTGAAGTTGGGGGGACCAGTGAAGATGCTTCTGTCAGTCACACCTGGGAACAGGACATTGGCCAGAGTAGGTGTGGCCACTGCAAGCAAGGGAAGATTTGAGATTTTTAATCCCCTAAACAAAGGTATTGACTCTCCTGTTCCTCTTACACTCTTGGTCTCTCTTGACTCTGATGCTTTTGCACTCTTGGCTCCCTTGTGACTCTTGTTACAGGGGGCACATTCTCTTGGCCTCCCTGCATTTGCCCACATGGCTCATGGCCATGTAAACCCCACACACAATGGAGTAATGGACTGCAACTGGCCTGATGCTGAACTGGACCCGCCTGCAACATGGAACAGAAACTCTGGATGCTTTCAGTTCTATCGAATCCCCAGCTACAGGTCTTCCATGACTGGATTAAGGGAAATGGGACTTTAGAAACATAGAGTTGTAATTCCACACAAATAAAAATCACTCACCCTGTGTGTGTCTCAGAAAATTCTTTTTCTTAAGATATTGTAAGGATGCCACTTCCAGCATTCAGTAGGGGAAGGGATACCCCACTTCCACCAATAACAAATGGATTGAGAAAATGCACCAGAAAAATAACAGTTTTACCACTTATTTTATACATCAGAATCAAAGGGGAAGATGTAAGGGGATGATATGAAATTTCTTGGTGATAGATTAGGGGGGTGGGAGAAAGCAAAGTGGAAGAGGGGAATCCCTGGGATTGGATAAAAAGTAAAATGAATAGCCCTGGCTGGTTTGACTCAGCGGTTAGAGCATCAGACCGTAGACCAGAGAGTCGCGGGTTTGATTCCAGTCAAGGGCTTATACCTCAGTTGCAGTTTATTCCCTGGCCCTAGTCAGGGTCATGTGGGAGGCAACCAGTAGATGTGTCTCTTTTATATCGATGTTTCTCTCTCTCCCTTCCTCCCACTCTATCTGAAGATAAATAGAAAAGTATCTTCGGGTGAAGATTAAAAAAAAAAAAAAGTAGCCCAGCTGGTGTGGCTCAGTGGTTGGGTGTTGACCCATGCACCAAAAGGTTGCTGGTTTGATTCCTGGTCAGGGCATGAGCCTGGGTTGTGGGCCCGATCCCCAGTGTGGGGCATGCAGGAGGTGGCCAATTGATGTTCTCTCATTGATGTTTCTATCTCTCTCTCCCTCTACCTTTCTCTCTCTCTAAAGTCAATAAAGAAACAAAAATTTTTATTAAAAAAAAGTAAAATGGCCCTGGCCGGTTTGGCTCAGCGGTTGGAGCGTCGGACTGCAGTACAGAGAGACCCGGGTTCGGTTACCGCTAAGGGCACGTACCTCGGTTGCAGTTTGTCTCCGGCCCTGGTTGGTCGTGAGGGTGGCAGCCACTCGATGTGTCCCTTCACATCAATGTTTCTCTCTCTCTCTCTCTTCCTCTCTCTCCTTCCCGCTCTATCTGAACAAAAAATGGAAAAATGTCCTCGGGTGAGGATAAAAAAAAAAAAGTAAAACGAATAGACACATACTTCTTTTACATGGGTGGGAATAGGATAGTTAGCAGTTAACAAGATGATAGCCATAACAATGAGGGGTTCTGTGGTGGAGCAGTGATTGATTCTTGAGTGATCCAGAAAAAAATTTACCCTGACATTCCAAAGGTATGTTATCATAAATGCAAAAAGACAATAGGCTTAGTTAAGGCAGAGATTGACCATTTCAAGGATTACTGGCCTAGGACAGGGCTACTCACTTTTAGTTAGGACATTTTAATTTCCTATGTGGTTACTTTCAGCCTCTGAGTTTGTAAGGCCACCATGCAGACCTTCCCTGAGCTTGTCAGGTTTAGTATGTGTCCCCTTTTTCATCCATAAGAATTATTATATATCAGTAATGCAAATTAATATTTCTAGATATATATTATATTCCAACTATAGTTTTGGATGGTTGTTCGATCTGAAATAGCCTTAGCCAGATCTGTATCTTTGCCTCTTTCTTTGTCTCTATTTTATCATACTTACTTCCTCATCTTCTACCATAGTGGAGCTAATAATTACTTACTGGGTTACCCTTTCAAGGATTTCTTTTTGTTTTGTTTTGTTTTTGAGAGTGTAATATTTTAATGAGACTAAAGGAGTAATGTGTAAGACAAAAGGATAAAAGCTACTAGAGTTAGGTTGACTTACCATAATTAGTTGGTTCTCACATAATTAGTTGGCTCTCACTAAATAGAGTTAAATAGAATTTGTGATACCACATGTGATATGTGTGTGTGTTTATAAATATATTAAGACAAAATTCCCTAAATAATAAAAATAGTAAGTCACCAAAGGAGAGAAGCACTTCATAAACTGAGAACTTTGTTTTGGGAATTGTGACTTGAATAATAGAGTAGACTTTCAGCTCAGAATGTTTGAGATTCTCAAGTTGGATCAAGTTGTAAATATTCTATGTAGAACAAAGGTACTCTTGGTGGAGCCTAAGGAATAACCTGCTTTGTAGTCTCTGATGTTACAAAAGAATCTTCCCAAATATATGATCTCTATCAAATGTAAAGGGTCTGGAATCACACCTTTCATTTCCCTTTTTCTTTCTCCTTTAGCAGCCCTGAAGAGTTTTTCACCAAATTGCAAACTGGAGTCAGGTAATAATGTTTGTTTCTGAGCTTTCAGAGGAAGCTGTTTATTTTAGTAGGCAATTTTCTTGTGTGATGAAGTGAAATGTTGAGAAGGCAGCCTCTCATTAGTGGACAAACAATGCCTAAGAATTTAGCTAATGGCCCCCCTTCAGTGCAGAGAATAGATGGCAACAATTGTACTTGCAGACTAGACCTGGAGCTGCTTGTTTGGCTGCTAGGTGTTAATGCAAATTTGTTCTTCAGCTCATTCAACCCTGGGGCTTCCATCCTTTGATTTAATTAAATGTAATTGGTTACATTGCTCCTCCCAGACCCCTGAGGTGTTTTTGTTTATTGCTTACTCTTTGCAATAAAGCTTCAATTTATGGCACAAAATGCTGGATAAATAAGAGTCTTTTTTACTATGTTGGATTTACAGGGAGATTATTCCATCCAAATAGTTTGGCTTTACTGTTAAAAGTAAATGACCAGTGAAATAAACTCATTGGGTGGCAAATGTAGCACATCCAGAAGCAAGGAATTAACTGGGATAAATAACATGAGATTAGGGAAAGATACGAGGTTGTCATGTTAAGTTAGCAAAGATTTGCAAGAGTACTATGAGGTATCAATGCTATAAATAAATAAGGCTTTAATAAGTAAGATTCTCATTATTGTAACACATTATTATTAAAAAGTTACTTTAAAATGCCAGTTATAAAAGAGTCTGAATTCAATTTTTAATGATGCAGAATTCTCTTATAAATATGCAAGGGGCATTGTTGGGGACAAAAGTGAGAATGATATTGACTTAAATTAGGTCAGCACAATTAATCTATTATTTATTTTGAAAAAAAATTTTTCTTTATTGATTTGAGAGAGAGAGGAAGGAGAGGGAGAGAGAGAGAGAGAAACACTGGTGAGAGAATATCAGTTGGCTGCCTCCTGCAGGCCCTCCCCCCCCTCCTTCCCGGGATCGGGCCCACAACTTGGGCATGTGCCCTGACTGGGAATTGAACCGGCAACCTCTTGGTGCATGAGTTGACGCTCAACCAGTGAGCCACACCGGCTGAGCCAATCTATTATTTTTTAATGAAGGATTTTATTCCTTCTGTTTTAACCTGAAGATATTGTAAATAACAGTTTTTTGTAAAGTGATAATTTCCCTTTCAAGTTTCATTTTAATTTGAAAAATGGGTAAATTATCTTTGTAGTAATTCCTGAGGAAAAGCTCAGAAAGTTACGAAAATTAGAAAAATACCATTAGCACTTCCCAGTCCAGTTTTAAGTACCAAACTATAAATGACTTTTCCCCTTTTTGTTCTTGTCAGTTGGATAAAATGACCTATCAGAACCCGGTATGTATTATAGTGTTGCCAGGTTAGTTCTTTTATTTCTTTTTCTTTTCCTGGCTTTAAGCTTTTCCCTTTTTATAGCAGAGGTATAAGATACTGCAACAATGACATTTTCATTAATGCAACAGACTTTCTAAATCTTGCTGTGTCACAGGCCTACCTTATATCTCTTCTGATGGAAAAAAAATGAAACATTCATGATGAGAACACAGGTATTCTCAGTGCAGTATAAAGCTTCAACTCCTCACAATAGGATTGTTTTGCAGGAATTTTTTCTAGGCTCCTCTTACTTTCTATTGTGCAGGTACTGGGGTTTTAAGCTTATCATGTTGTGCTATCAGAAAGGTAGGCCTTTCTTCTGGTAGATGCTCCTGATGAAAACCAACTGGTAATTATAATGGAAAATGAGAAAACACTCCCCTTGGGAGGTAGAGAACTGGACTCAGATGCTAGCTCAAAGTTAAGTGCTCAGAGAAGTGGAGTACCATATTCACATCTTGGAAATGAGCTGTCAAACTGGCTGTCCTTTACTTTCAGTGGGAGTCTTAGCCTCCATCAGCTTACTAATGTGGTCCTGGATCCAAAAAGCTTGGATGGAAAGTACAGGCTTTGTCAGCTGGGTGCAGGGTGATTTAACTTTTCTCCTAGTTTATTCCAAGGAGTCACAGTTTAACTATTGACCCTCATACTGGCAACTAAAAATGTTTAACATATAATATGCTGGATATTGAAGGTTCCTTTGTAAACGAAATGTAATGTCAAACACAGAAGGGATGGAAATGTTCCAGTGGTCTTTCAGATAAAACCAGGTACTCTTGTACTTGAGTAATTTTCCTCCCTGTGCACTGTAATAATAAGCCCATTGCCCTTCCCCTGACTGTGACTCTCCTGAATCTACAGCTTTGATTGGAAACTCTCAACCCCTGACTGGTTTCGGAGCACTGATTACAGAGGCACCCCACACACTTCCCTCATAAACATTTGGCAGATCAGGAAGTGCTGAAAAGTGATGCCCCTGGCTCTCAGAAGAGGGTACTGGTGGGAGAAGAAATAGAACATTTTCCCTCTTGCAGCTGTCAGAGAGTGATTATGTCAAATGGGTTTTCAATGAGCCACAAAGTAATTACAGGGTAACTTCTTGACATTATTTTCCAATGTTTGACTCAGCAGATGATGATTATTAATTGATGTGTATTATTTTATGGCTCTCTGAAACTTTGTTTGATACTTTAGATAGAGGTCAGATTAAGTCTTCATTTAGACTAACATAGTACATTTGCCTTAAATTTTAACATGTTAACTCTCCCTCTATAATAGACTCAGATAATAACCTACACTAACTAGTCTTCTTGTGGCTAGTAGAGGCTATGCTTGGGCTACCCTTTTCATGTAGATTAAAAAACAAAAACAAATCATGTGCTTTTAAAGTAGTTACTAAGATTTCTGGGGCTAGTGTGAAACTTTAATGAGTTAAATCATGAAAAGTAATAGTACTTAGTACTTGGCATGTGGTAAATGTTCAGTAAATGTCAACAATATTGAAAAAGACATAATAAACGTCAAAAAAGGTATTTCCTTGTATGCGATCTCGCTAATGTGGTCTAGTTAGCAGAGAGGAATCTGACATCCTGCTTGTTTTCTTCTGTAGTTATATTATGTTAGAGTTGGCCTATCTGTTGGTTTATATCTTTTTGTTAATTTCAGTTCAATTTAAAATAGTAGGGAATATTTAAATACAGTGGACTTGAAATATATTTGTATTTACGTGTCCTTTCCACAGCATTATATATGAATGTCTATATCAGTTGATTCCAAGCTAGTAATTGATTCAGGTAGGCCAAGATGTGGATATTTGTGACTGATATAATAGAAAGATATTGTAAATTAAGACATATTGATTAAAATAAGTAGTAAATATAGTAGTGCTTTTATTATTTTACTGAGTTTGTAAATTTTATTTTTTCAAATCAAAGTTGTCAATGAGAATTGTTTAGTGATCTTAGACTTTCATAAATTGGTATACTAAAAGATGTTTCATAGCCAGAATGTTTCTCTTTTTTTTTTTATTATTAATTTGTTTTTGTTATAGATGTTTCTCATTTTTCCCCCATTGACACCTCCTCCCCTCCTCCCTGCCCCATCCCCAGCTTTGTTGTCTATGTTCATTGGTCATGCATACATGCATGTAAGTTCTGTGGTTTATGTCTTCCCCCACAAACCCCCCCTTCCCTGAGGCTTGTCAGTCTGTACCCCATCTCTATGTCTCTGGGTTAATTTTGTTGAGCAGTTTGTTTAGTTTATTATATTCCACAAATAAGTGAGATCATATGATATTTGTCTTTCTCTGCTTGGCTTGTTTTGCTTAGCATAATACTCTCCAGGTCCTTCCATGCCATCTCAAAGGATAAGAGATCTTTCTTTCTTACAGCTGCATAGTACTCCATTGTGAACATCAGAATGAGAAAAATAGAAGTGCTTGACAGTCGTAGTTATGGTGCAAATGCTAATCTTTGATTAACTTTTGAAAACATGTTTGAAGATAGTTATGTAAGTACTTTTGAGTAGCTTTTTAAAGTTTTGAGGTATCAGTATTATATTCAAAATTAATATTTTTCTATAAATTTAAGGGAAATATTTAGAATCAGATATTTTGCTATACTAGGACTCCGCCAGATCCTTTTACAGTTTGAATGCATTCATTTGTGTGGTGGTGTCTGTGCTATGCATGTGTATGTTTTGTGAATAAATGAAGTAGGTGAGCTATTTATTGACCATGCTGTTTCTGTCTGCCAACTAGATATATCATCGACATTCCAGGTACAAAAGATGTTTAACCAGTTAAACTGAATAGGCTTCCTTTGTCTCCACATGTGTTTCACAAAGAAAAGATGTTGCTCTCATGGTAACAGAAGGATGACAGTCTAGGGTTTGTAGTGCCATCTTTATTATGTGTATGCTGAATGAAAGAAACCAAGTATTCAACTGTGGGCTGTGTGGTTGTGAAGGATTTTTTTTTTTTTTTGGTGTTGGTTGTGGACTTCATTGATAGGCTATTTTAGAATAAGAAAAACCCATCTGTTTATAGGAAGCACAGAGGGTGGACCCGTCTGTTGAATTTATTATGTGTATTGCAAATAACAGATGGCTCAGCAATAGGTTTGCCCTTCTGTAGGAATTTGTTGTTTCAAGTAACAAATGTTTGTCTTTCAATATTAACACATCTTACTACATTGATTGAGGTTTATTTTCCTTTTAAAATACTGCTCTTTTTGGCAGTCTGATCTACATATCTCTCATCAACTGACTAAATCTTGCCTGGATGCTCTTGTATCATCAGCTTCTTTGCTCTGTTCAAGTTCTACCTTTGACATGTTTGATACTTTTTATTCTCTACTAGAATTATTGTAGTATCAGGAACCATTAAATGTCCAAGACTTTGCCAAAGTGTAAGGATACACTCTCTCTCTCTCTCTCTCTCTCTCTCTGATTGCAGTTATAACAAATTGACATGGACTACTTATAAAAAAGATTATGATACCCAGGCAACTCTGTATTATTGTTGTATATCTCAGCTTACAATGTTTCCTTTGTTTTAAATTTCTACAGCTCTCCTGTTTCCCTGAATTATTTTTTCTTTCCTGTGAAGTAGGTCCTTAATCATGATGCCCTGCTTCCTTTTCTTTCTGTAAATTTATTTAAATATATTATTTTTATATAAGATGATAAATAGATAAAAGATAATGTTTATAACATTTAAGAGATACAGATGAACAGAATAACATATATCCATGGATCTACTACATTGCGTGAGTGAATTATTCAAGGCATAAGAAGTGGGTATATGTATGGGTATTGAGGGGTCAGTGGATAATGTGTACAGCTGAGTTGGAACCAGAAAAATCTTTCATGGTAATGGACACTTGCCTGAAGCCCAGCTTGTAAAGCTGCTATAGGGAACATCCCTGTTCTCTGAGCAAAATTTTTGGCCATGGCAGCGGTATAGCAGGCTTTCAGCTAAGTGTGATGATTATAAGCTGGCTGGGCAGCATTTCAAACACTGAATAAAGTGCAAGCACTTTTCATAGCATTCCATGTACCCAAATGAATGTTCAGTAAATGCTATCTGTTATTTTGATGATGATGTAATTACAGTCATCCCTCACCACTTCCCGCTTCAACTTTTGTGGCTTCACTCTATTGTGGTTTTTTCAAATATATTCATTAAAAGGTTGATTGAGCCCTGGCCGGTTTGGTTCAGCGGTTAGAGCGTCGACCTGTGGTCCAGAGAGGCCTGGGTTTGGTTCCTGCTAAGGGCATGTACCTCGGTTGCAGTTTGTCCCCTGCCCTGGTTGGTCGTGTGGGTGGCAGCCACTCGATGTGTCCCTTTCACGTCGATGTTTCTCTCTCTCTCTCTTCCTTCCACTCTATCTGAACAAAAAATGGAAAAAAATGTCCTTAGGTGAGGATAAAAAAAAAAAAAGATCAAGACAGTGCAAATGATATAGTGCATGCTCGGTTGTCTTAGTCAGTTATACACCCCTGTATTACAATTACAATTAAAATTAAAATTAAAATTAAAATTAAAATTACTGTACGTATGGACTGAAGGCCTATGTATTCGAGCACCCCAGGAATCCTTCAATGCCAGGTGCGACCACTAGAGTCTTGAATGGATTAACCGGGTAAATGAGGGATGACTGTATATATAATATTTAATCCCTGTTTCTCTGGTTCTTCTATAAACATTTTCTATAAACTTTTAAATGTATACTCTAAGTCTCTTATGTCCTTGTTTCTTCTATCACTCTTTTCTTAACATTTCCCAAATATATATATTACAGAGAGAAGAAGGGAGAGAGAGAGGAACATCGATGTGAGAGAGAAACATCGATTGCCTCTTGCACACCCCCTACTGGGGATCGAGCCTGTAACCAGGGCATGTGCCCTAACCAAGAATCGAACTGGGACCTCTCAGTCCATGGGATGATGCTCAATACACAGAGCCATACCGGCCAGGCCATTTTCCCAATTTTTAAAGCAAAAGAAAGAAAAAAATCACGGTTTAATTCTTTTATATGATACATTTGTGTTTCTTCCAGGCTTATCTAGTAGTGTTAAAAATTCTTATTTTTCTAGCATGTATATTTCTAAGGCCTATAAATATTGATATTTGAATCTGAATCCAACTTAGGCTTTAAATTTAAAGTTTGATGTTTAATAAAGTAAAATATTAATTTAGGTATTTTACATTTACTTTTTTAACTTCCTGTCTTTCCTGATCTAGTACTTACTGAATGCAGATGCAAGTTATTAAAATTAAGAATCTGTATAAAATACTTAACCTAATTAAAAGTATCCTAAAAAAAGTAGCCTCAATTTTTATGGTCTTGCTTGATTTAAATGAAACTTGAATTTTTTTTATTTTTTTTTTATACAGGAATGTATAGATAACCATAAGCCTATAAATTTCATCACTTCCTTCCCATTCTCTACCCTGTATGCGTCATTTTATCTTCTCAGGTGTCAGGAACTGTGAACTGTTACTTCCTCTGTGGGTCTTATCCCTTGTCCCTTAGCAGAGCTGGTGGCTGGTTATTTTTGTGCCCAGAGCTCTCTTAATTGTTTATATCTTATTTGTAACAATATCTTCCTCACCCGAGGACAATTTTCCATTTTTTGTTCAGATAGAGCGGGAGGGAGAGAGAGGAAGAGAGAGAGAGAGAAACATCGATGTGAAGGGACACATCGAGTGGCTGCCACCATCCCGACCAACCAGGGCCGGGGACAAACTGCAACTGAGGTACATGCCCTTAGCGGGAACCGAACCCGGGTCTCTCAGTACCGAAGGCCGACGCTCCAACCGCTGCGCCAAACCGGCCAGGGCTGTAACAATATCTTAATTGTAACACTTGTCCTTTTATATTGTAATTATCTGCTTACCTCCAGTCTCTTAAACAGATAGGAAGTGACTCTTTCTTATTCATTTTCTCTCCTCAAGCTCAATAAACATGTTTGTTGAATGAATGAAGTAATCGTGAGAGAGAGAGAGAGAGAGAGAGAGAGAGAGAAAAGATCTATCAGAAGGGATCCAGAGATGCTGTTAATTCTCCTTAGTTAAGGATTTGATAAAATTCAGCTATTTTGTGAAAGCTTTCCTCCCCTTTTTAGATAAAAGTTGCTAATAGGTTTCTAACAAATATGATATAAACCTAGACTGCTAATTTATTGTTTATGTTTGCATTTATTAAAATAGGACCTCAAGTGAAAAAATTAGAGTGGAATGTTAATCACAATTTGAGGTCAAATCAATTAGAAAACATAAGCAAGTTTGTTATTTCCAACCTCACATAATGGCATCACGTTCTCTCTGGGACATGTATGTTTTGGAATATGAGCATCGTTATGTTCTTTTGAGCAACTGTATACCATCTCATGAATTTACATATATAAATACCACTAATTAACATTTGTTTATTATTTTGCATTTCACTGCTATTTACTAACAGATTTCAAGACAATAGGCAATTTTGTAACCTCAGTTTTATAAAAACCACTAGTATTTTTGGTCCCTAGCAACCATTTAGTATGTAAATTAGGTATTCTCAGGCTTAATGTACTTCATTTTTATAAAACAAATACATCATTAATCTGATTAAGTTCTTGGATGGGAGTGATGTCCTCAGATCACTGTGGATCATTTATTGTTGGGCATGCATCCAAAAAAAATTCAAGCATGGCACTTATAGTCTAGGTTTAGGAGAATTGTTAAACCTCCTAAATGACATTTTCCAGAAGAATAGAAAGGCCCTGCTTACTTACAATCGCAAGCATTACCTAAAACTTAATGATGTTCTTATCCTTAATTGCAACTCAGTTTGATGATGATTCAGTGCCTGAAATTATGCCATGTTTTGCTTTGGTGTTATAAAATGTATAATGAAATAAAGGTGATCCAAGTGAATCAAAAATAGATTCCGGCTTTTCGGGAGTGACTTAGTCACTCTGTTTCTGAATTCAGGAGTTGCTTGACTGTGATGGCTATTATTTGGTATGTCTTTAGCTGTTAGTCAAATTTACTACTTAAGAACCGACAATGCTTGATGTGAAGGTTAAATAAAGTTCATGATGTTTTAATTTATATAACAGAAGGACCTTTTAAGAAAATTTAAAACAAAGTTTATGGCATTCTGCCTTCTTAGTCCTGTTTATAAAGTTGTATGTATACCTTCCATTTGGAGGTAGACTTTGTCTAATGAAGCACAGTTGTCATAATGGCTTTCATTTATTGAATATCTACCATAGTACCTCGTTCATTCTCCTAGAAATCCTGTGAAATCATGTTTATTACCATTTTACCGATGGTTAAACAAAGGCTCAGAAAGGTTAATTTAGTTTCAAAAGGCACACAGATAGCATGTGGTTAGTCTAGGATTCAAGCATAGTTCTCACCCTGTTTCCTCAGATAGGGGAGAGAAAGAAAGGGAAGGAATAGCTCACAAGGTCCGCAGCATAGCAACTGCGATGACTTTGGACAGGAGTTGGCAAACTTTTTCTGTAAAGGGTCAGCTAGTAAATATTTCTGGCATTAAGAACCACATACATACGGTCTTTATCACATATTGTTGTTTTTACTTTTTACAAACCTTAAAAATGTAAAACTATTTTTAGCTCAAGGGTTATATAAAGACAGACTGAGGACTGGATTTGATCAAAAGTCCTTAGTCTGCTGATCTCTGATTTAGGGCAGTGTCAATAAGACTTACATATTCTCTCAGACTGTATCATTATAGTTAACAATAAAATTACATATCTATAACAATAATTTTTAAATATTAAGAAAATGGGCAAGTTATGTTCTGTATACCCTGTTTAAAAAGGCCTGAAAGCATGACATCTTAGATTTTTATCAAATAAGTCAAAATAAACCTTTTGTATTTATAGTGATATTTTGGCTATCTGGAAGAGTAAACTTTGCAAAAATGAAAGTTTATATTACAAGTAAATTTGACAGTTACAGAATTTATAACATACCATTTAATTTCATTTTTATGTTTTATTTTAAAAACCTTACCTCCTTGATATTAGAGTGCTTACTAGTCTGTCTGATATTTTTGATATTGTAGTCTACTGGTTCCCTTTTCTCAGTACATATTTTATGGAGGAATACTGAAGAATAGCTGAGAAAATGGTTCTTTGCTCTTCTTAAGAAAAAAGCATCTAAGATTTTTGTCGGTAAGTTAATGTTTACCAAGATGTAAATGTTTCTTTCCTCAATTCCTTTATTTATATTCTAGTTCCAACTGGTGTTAAGGGACTCAGGCAGGGTCACTGTGGGGCAGCCGTCCTCCTGATGAGACATGGGGAGTGACGGGATACCTGGATCTGTCAACCCTATAGCTAGAAACTTACTTTAGTTCAACTCCCTTGTGTCTGTTTTTTTCTAATTGCTTAATTATTTTCAAGCCATTAGTAATGTTCCTTTTGTAAAATTCAATATTATTTTGGTCAGACTAAGAAGGTAAAGAGATTTTTGTATCTTTTACCAGACCAGATCACATATACCTAGGGAGCAGGCGTGCTGCTAACCCCTCGTTGGGTTTCCGTCCTCCTTTCTTGGATGGCAGCCTTCTCAAAGCTTTTCTCCCAGCCGTTAGATGGCTGTAAGGATTCAACCAGTTCCACTGCTCCTCATAAATGACTTTACAAGAGAAAAAAAGTAAATATTATTATTTGTAATATCAAATTTGAATCATTATTTAGGTAGTTAGGGTAGTTTATTATTAATACTTGCTCTTCCTTTTTTTATTTAAGTACTATCCAGTGTACAGAAACACATATTGCTGCTGTTGTGGCAGAAATTTGGTCGGTGGGAAGAGACAGGTTGCATGCACTTGGAGGATTAGAAAAGGGCTGTGTAATGTGCACTGGTGCTGTCCCAGCGGAGTCACCTCCAAAGGCTGAGCCCTGTGCCTGGGTTCCAGCTGCCTTATATACCTAATAAGCCTCTGGGTATTTGGGGGCTTTCTAGTTCTGCTGTAGTTTAGGCCGTTGGCTGATATAAGGGAATTAACAAACGCCAGGGGCGGGGTCTCTGCACTTCCTAAGGGGCTGCACCTGGCTTGCCTTCCCACTCCAACAGTGGGGATATTGAATGGCTTGACATCTAGTTCAGTCACTAAACTAAGCTGCCACAGTCTGATATACAGGCAGTTTTTAGATGATGTTTATTGAGCACTTATTATGTACCAGGCCCCATCCAAAATGCTTTAGATTCATTATCTCTTTTAGTTTTCACAACCACTTCCAGAGGAAACTGAGGTTTAAAGAGGTTGAGTAAGTTGTTTACAATAACACAACTAGTAAGTTACAGAGGCAGAATTTGAACATAGGCAATATGACACCAAACCTGTGCTCCTAAATGAAAAAAAAAAAAAGTTTTATGCTTTAAAAAATGTTTTATCCTTCAGTATAGCAGCCTTCATTTGAACATAACAGAATTGAAAAGAGGACATTATAGCTACAAATGGTGGCTATAAAACCCTGAAACGATGTCTGGGTAATTGTATGAGCAATTTTAGGAATAAACAAAATAAAATACAAGATTTTTAGTTTAAAGTAGCTCCTCAACTGATTAGAATTAATTATATGTGTTATGATCTGTTTATAGTTCATACATAATGCTTTTTTATTTGTTCATGTGAAAACTCATATCTTAGAAAATGTTAGTAAGATTAAGGTAGTAAAACATAAATTAATTCAGCAGACATTTGTTGAGTACATATTGTATGCCAGAATCTGTCAAATAAGACACAGCTCAGCCTGTGAGTGACTGATGGTTCTAAGTGGAGAGAAACACAAGAGTCAATTTTAGTACATTGGGAGCACCCAAGCTGTGGAGGAAATCAGAGAAGGCATTTTATTTATTTATTTATTTATTTATTTATTTATTTATTTATTTATTTTTATCCTCACCCGAGGATATTTTTCCATTTTTTGTACAGATAGAGTGGGAGGGAGAGAGAGGAAGAGAGAGAGAGGGAAACATCGATGTGAAGGGACACATCGAGTGGCTGCCACCCGCACGACCAACCAGGGCCGGGGACAAACTGCAACCGAGGTACGTGCCCTTAGCGGGAACCGAACCCGGGTCTCTCCGGACCGCAGGCTGACGCTTTAACCGCTGAGCCAAACCGGCCAGGGCAGAGAAGGCATTTTAGAAGCAGAGACTCTATACTGGTACCTGAACTATGGGGGAAGGTGTGCCCCAGTCAGAGGCAACAGCACAAGCCAAGGCCCAGACGTGAAGAAGGAGGATTTAGTGAGTTGCCACAACTCATTATTTAGTGAGGCTTGGGTGAGAGCTTTGGAGGAGGAAGTGAGGTAAGGCTGGAGAGGTCAGAAGGCCCAGATTGTGAAAAGCCTTTTGTTCATTACGCCAAAGAGAGTGATCTGGAAAGCAGTAGGGAGCTCATGCAGGTGACATGGTCCAATTGGGGCTTTAGAAACATTTTCACTCAGGCTGTAGTGTGAAGATGGAATGGAGGAAGGCAAGCAGGGAGAACAATTAGGAGGCTGGGGATGGGACATTGGGGAGAGATGAGTGGGTGGATTCCAGAGATTAAGAAAGCAAAATTGATAGAATTTGGTGAAGGAGTAAACTGAATGTGGGGAGAAAGAGATGAGAGAGAAGTTAAAGATGTCGTCTTGGCAATTTTGGGGAAAGAGGAAACGGGACATGAGATAGAGCTGAAAAGGGAGAGTTGAAAAAATGTATACATATTAGCAGTTTAGTTAAAGATGGATGTCAGCAAAGGGTCTTGGCGTACTGTAAAGGGATTGTCTTAAAGTCTGCTTTTCTATCCAAATCATTAGCTGTCATTTGTTTCCAGTTTTGTATTGTGCCACTCATTCATGCAATCTTTACAGTGTATATTCTAGGAAAACAGTATTTTAATTTGTTGAAGCCATTTTTATTTCATTTATTCTCATTGTAATATCTCCTTTTTAAATATACATTTATTGTTGAAAGTAGTACAGATGTCCCTCCTTTTTTCTTCCTTTGACATCCCCCTCCTCTTTCCTGCTCCTCGGCCTTCACCACGTTTTCTGTGTCCATTGGTTATGCCTATATACATATAAGTTCTTTGGTTTATCTCTTCCCACCCCCCAACCCCCCTTCCCTCTGAGGTTTGTGAGCCCGTTCCCTACTTCCATGTCTCTGGATCTATTTTGTTCAACAGCTTATTTTGTTCATTATATTCCACAAACAAATGAGATCAGGTGATACTTGTCTTTCTCTGATTGGTTTACTTCACTTATCATAATACTCTCCAGGTCCCTCCATTATGTCTCAAAGGATAAGAGATCTTTTTTTTCTTACAGCTGCATAGTATTCCATTGTGTATATGTACCACAGCTTTTTTTTTTTTTTTTTTATCCTCACCCAAGGACACTTTTGCATTTATCTTCAGATAAAGCAGGAGGGAGAGAGGGGGGAAGAAAGAGAGAGAGAAACATAGATGTGAAAGAGACACATTGAGTAGTTGCCACCCACACAGCCCTGGCTGGGGCCAAACTGCAACCAAGGTATAGTACCCTTAGCGGGAACCAAACCAGGACTCTTTGGTCTGTGGACCAACTCTCTAACCACTGAGCCAAACCGGCCAGGGCTGTACCACAGCTTTTTTATCCACTCATCTACTGATGGACACCAGATCATAGTTATTGTAAATAGCACTGCTATGAACACAGGGGTGCATATATTCTTTCTGATTGGTGTTTTAGGTTTCATAGGATATATTCCTAGTAGTGGGATCACTGGGTCAAATGGCAGTTCCATTTTCAATTTTTTGAGGAAACACCATATTGTTTTCCATAGTGGCTGCACCAGTCTGCACTCCCACCAGCAGTGTACTAGAGTCCCCTTTTCTCCCCAACCTCTTCAGCACTTGTTGTTTGATGATTTGTTGATGGCAGCCATTATAGCAGGTGTGAGGTGATACCTCACAGTCATTTTAATTTGCATCTCTCTAATGATGAGTGGCGTTGAACATTTTTTCATATGTCTCTTGGCCATTTGTATATTTTGTTTGGAGAAGTGTCTATTCAGGTCCTCTGCCCATTTTTATTTAAAAGTAATTTTTCTTTATGGATTTTAGAGAGAGAGGAAGGGAGAGGGAGAGAGAGAAACATCGATGAGAGAGAACATTGATTCGCCACCTACTACATGCCCCCCACTGGGGATTGGGCCCACAACCTGAGCATATGCCTTAACTGGGAATCAAACTGGTGACCTCTTGGTACATGGGTCAATGCTCAGCCACTGAGCCACACCAGCCGGACCTCTGCCCATTTTTAATTGGATTGTATATCTTCCTTTTGTTGAGTTGTATGAGTACTTTATATACTTTGGATACTAAGCCCTTATCTGATGGCAAATATATTCTCCCATAGAGTGGGTTCCCTCTTCATTCTGATGCTGGTTTCTTTTACTGTGCAGAAGCTTTTTAGTTTGATATAGTCCCACTTATTAATTTTTTTTCTTTGAACAGACAACAATGTGGTGAAGGTGGTGTGTGTGTATGGGGAGGGGGGGGGGCAGGAGGCATTTAAATGCAAAGTTTTTATGAACCAGTGTTTCTTAAATTCAAGGGACAGACCTTGTTAGTTTAGTGTTTTCATACCATTATGTTATTAAATATTTTTATGTGATGAAGTTTCAAATTATTGGTGCTTGATAATCGTTACTTGAGATTGAAGTTCTGCTTTGTTTTTAATTCCTCAACCAAATATGTATATAAGTATATGTTTTTGTATTATTTTAAAACAAAATCTGAAATCATGTTAAGTAGATGTGTGGATGTGGCAGGGTGATGGTGATATTTTGTAGTGTTTACCAAAGCAAACCTCTGGAATTTTCAAAGCTCATTTATCTTTTTTTTGTATTTTGATTCTTTGGGATTTCATAACGTGGTGCTCAGAAATGTGTAAAATGTGGCAGTATGTGGCCCAATACTTCATATAAAACTTCAAAAGACTGACCTACTTTATTTATTTTTTGTTTATTAAAATTTTTTTTTTCTTTTTTGATTTTAAAGAGTAAGGAAGGGAGAGGGAGAGAGAGAGAGAAACATCTGTGAGTGAGAACATCAGTTGGCCGCCTCCTGTATGCCCCTCACTGGGGATTTGGCCCACAGCCTGGGCATGTGCCCTGACTGGGAATCGAACTGGTG